CCGTGAGATCATGACCTGAGGCGAAGTCGGACGCTCAACCGACTGAGCCACCCAGGCGCCCCTACATCATTTTTTTAAAACCCAAACCATTTGACACCTACCCTGTGAAGTAAGGGTTACTATTCACCCATTTTACAGATTGGTATCGGGCAAAAAGTCTGGCAATATTTAGTTCTGCCCCTGGAATGCTATTTCAGGTTTGATTTTTTCACAGTTGCTTCACTGAAGGATGTGTGTGTGTGTGTGTGTGTGTGTGTGTGTGTGTGTGCATGTGTTTGCCTACTGTATGTATTTGCAAATATGCAGAAAGAGCCTCACTACTAACTTTCTACCTTCGTAATTTTGAGACATGCCATATAGAATAGGGCTACTTCTGACTTCAGTCTTATTCTATGGAGTGATTTTGTCAGGAACACCTTTAATTCTTTCTGAATATTTGTTTGGGGGCTCCCATTCTTTTGAAATTTATTTTACTTTTGGGTGTCTGTGGAAAGCCCAGTGCGATTCACGCCAATTAGGAATAGAAGCTAGGCACCCAAGACATCACATCTAGTGATTAGTTGACTAGCAAACTAAAATTATTGACCAAGTCATATTAATTATAATGATATTTTCCATGTATTGATTGTTCACAATATGCCAATGTCACATAGTGTCTCATTTAATCTCCATAACAACTCAGGGTCAGCAGGTACTATTATTAATCCCTTTATACTGATGAGGAATCTGGGGTGGGGAGACAAAGTACCTCGTACAAGTTTACATAGCTAGTTATTTGTGGGCAGGATCAGGAATTGAACTCAGGTCTGTGTGAGTCCCCAAGTCCAAGTCCTCCTGGTAAGGAGAACAGTCCTATGGTCTGACTCCCCTGAAATCAACTCTCTTGCCCACACTTAAGGCTTTTACACTGGATAATGGGAGAAGTGGACCTAGGGAAAGTTTATATTTTAGAGTTTTTTAAAAAAGTGATAAGTCACTTGAATTGTCCCTGTGTGCCCCGTAGATAATGGTTTATTTTCCAATGACTTTCAGATGCTTTTTGGGATACACTCTAGTCCAGTGCCTCTCAAATCTTAACATTTGAACAAATCACTGGGGAAACTTCTTAAAAATCAGATTCCAATTTATTAGGTCCAATTTATTAGGTCCGAGGAAGAGTTTAAGATTCTGTACTTATAAATACCTCCCGGGCACCAGGGTGGCTCAGTCAGTTAAGTGTTGGACTTCGGGCTCAGGTCATGATCTCACAGTTCATGAGTTTGAGCCCCGCATCGGGCTCTGTGCGGACAGCTCGGAGTCTGAAGCCTGCTTCAGATTCCGTGTCTCCCTCTCTCTCTGCCCCTCCCCTGCTCGTGCTCTGTCTGTCTCTCCCTCTCAAAAATAAATAAACAAACATTAAAAAAAATAGCTCCTGGGGGATGGTGGTGCTACTGGTGTGGGGATCACACTTGGAGTAGCAAGGCCCTAACCTGCTCCATCCCAGCCTCTTCTTACTAACCTTGTGATAGCCTCATGACAGTGTAGAAGTTCTTCATATCATCCTTCTGGATTATAACAGACGTGTTTGCATTGGCCTATTTTACAGATCATGGGGGGAAAAAACGCAAAAAACTGGGGTGGGATTAATTGAAACCAGGTATCAAAGCTAAAGAATGGAGGTAGGAAAAACACCCTACCCCCCCCCCCCGAAAACCTTCCTTCTTCTCATACTCTACTATAAAAACCATCTGCCTTGTCTTTTCTGCTTCTTTTGTTTTAATTTCTCAGGAAGTGTGTGAATGTGTGTGTGTGTGGTGTGTGTGTGTCTGTGTGTCTGTGCCTGTGCATGTGCATGTGTGTGTCTTGGGGGCACGTGGTGGGTGAGAAGGCAAGTCACAAGGATATGGCAATAAACATGGTAAACATAATCGTGGCACAAAAGTGGAGGGTTGTGATCTTGGTAAACTTGGTTTTAGTTTCCTCTTTGACTTCCTGGAAAGATCTTCGGAGAGCTTTGGGGAATTTATTCAGTCCTAGCAGGAAGTCTTGGGTTCTGGTTGGGGCTCTGTCGCTAGCCACCTGTGTGATTTTGACAAATCATTATCACCCTCTGGGCCTCAATTTCTCCATAGGTGAAATGACAGCATTGGCTCCTGCTCCCATCCCTGTTCATTTCCCACTATGGGCTTTTGAAAAAGCTGGGACAATTGCATTGGCTACCAGTATTTGAGTAGTAACTCCACAATGAGTGATGGCGAACCAAACCTTGGGAATTTGCAAAGTTCCCCGGACCCAGTGAACTGTGAATTTTTTGCTTGGCCCCACCAGCTTTTATTTATTTATTGAAATCATCTGCTATCGCTCAGTGGTGCACGCTGCACACATTTGTTTAGGATACCACAGCCAGATCATTCAGGCCTCATTCTTTGCAATCAGTATGGGTCTGTTGGTCTCAGTGCTCAAAGGAGTTGAGAGAGCCATCAACAGAAGGAAAGCTCCCGTGAGTTTTGGAAAGAATGACAAATCTCAGCTACGAAGCTCTGGATTCAGTGGCTAGCCTCAGCTTAGCCCTGATCTAAAACAGAAGACTGCAATTTCTCCCTAGAATGAGGCATCATTTCTGCCAGAAGGATGCAAACTTTGTGATACCCCTCCTTGAAAACCTGGAAAATGACCAGACCAGGTTGGGCTGGTTTAGACTACAGGGCGCTTTGGGGAGAAAGTTCCTGCCCCTCTCATTCCGCACCAGCTAACTACAGGCTTCTGAACAGCTTAGTGTACTTAGCTAAAAACAAGCATAAAGCAGGCAGAAATGTTTTGGTCCCTCTCTTTCAGTGATGGAGCCACGGCAAGAAACAAATTGGAATATTTGGAAGCAGGCTGGAAGGAAATAGCATGACACACTTGAAATATACATTCGATAATTAAGCACCTGAACGGCTTGTAGATAGGGATTTAATATGCTAAGGGGTGAAATGGGATGGTAAAAGTGAAAATGTACTCCAGTGCTCCCAATTCTCTGGTTCTAAGGAATTCTATCATTGTTCACTCAGTGTTTACAAAGCAAGTCATAGGCAGTTTTACCGTGCTTCACATCGGAATCAATTTTCTGGACTAATTCCATCCTCAGCTGAGCAAAAGAAAGCAAACACCTGGATGGTTTTCTCTCCATGTGTTTCAAAACATCTTTGGGTTCTCTCCTAACCCTCTTTTCTTCTTCCCTACCGTACCTTTAATTTTTTGGCCCACCCTTCTCTAAGCACGTATGGTTCTGCGTGTCATTCGGGTAGTTAATTCTAGAAAGCATGGAATCAAAGGACTGTTGCTCTTATAGTTGGCAGATATTTGGTGCAGGTTTCTATGTTGGAGCATGCACCAAAGGCAGGGAACCTGTGTCAACACAGCCAGGGACTGCATCGGTTCTGTATCCCTGCACTACCCACCTCCATGTCCTTTGAGTAACTGTGGATCAGGACCCACTGTGGCAGTCAGATATACACATCACCAAGAACAGAGCAGAGACCTGTACCTTCCTTAGGCTGCATCCCTGTAGACACTTTCAGTTCTTCCCCAAGTATGAAGCTGCCAGTTCTTTCCTACCTGTCTGCAACCTGGTCTTTGCTATTTATGGGGAAGTATAATTTTAACCTATCTAAGAAGATATTTGCTTATGATTGCCTAAAACAAGTAACAGCATGGGCATCTTTTCAGATCCTACTTGAGTACTCCTCATTCTGTTCTGTCTCTAGGCTCTAGGCAGGGAGCATTAGGATAAATTGCCCAATGCAATGTAAACAGTTTCCCTTAATGCAGAATCTGTTTTTCTCATTTGCTGAATTGGAAGGAGGTAATTCATTGTATTCTGGTAATATAGTAATAAATAGAAAGTTTAACAGAAGAGCCTGGGTGCTTTGGAAGCACAAATTCAAACATTCCCCTCTTTGCTACAGCAGCACAGAGCCCGATTGCATGGGGTTGATCCGGGTCCTTGAAAAAATACACACACACACACACACACACACACACACACACGC